TAATACGTCTCATGATTATTCAGCTCCTGAAATGTGTTTTGTTTTTCTTTGAAAGAATAATAAAGCATATTTTCCCCAGCATGAAACTATTATACTCTTTGTGAAAAAGATGGAGGAAACACTGGTCAAATTTATAGCTGATCAGTCCTGATGGTGCTTTAGTTTATATTTAACTTCCTTCATTGTGAAATTGAAGTTCCAATATGACATCACATTTAATTTTTAAAAATGCCCTAGTTTTTATGGTATTAAATGGCTGTTTTTAAGGAGGGACTCTTTGGATTGGCTGCAATAGTATAAAAAGAGATGAGTTAATCAAATATTTTTTTCTATGTTCTGCCACTTCGTATGCTAAACTGTGCACTTCATCATCTTCTAAGGGAAAACACACAGAGCCATAGATACATTTTTCTCGCAATAGAGACATACAACAAGACAGCTCCGAGTAGTGTGATTAACTTGAAATAATGGTGGCCCTTAGGGTTTTAGGCTTTCCCTACTTCATAATATTTTAGGTCTGTTATTACCGTAGGTGAACTTTATTCCCCGAGAAAGATGATGCTGAATTAATTCTTCTGTGATTTATATCATCAATATCGAAATAAAACTATGTGTCTCTACCTTTTATGAGATTCTAGGTAGCTATTTTTTAAAAACTTATTTCACAAAAACTGCTGAATTTTCTGTACCCTGATAATAATTGTGGACTCTTAGAAGTAAATCTTCATGTACAGACAAATGAGATTAAACACACATGCGCACACACACACACACATACACACGTGTACACACATGCACACAAATTTATTTATTGTGGCAAATTCAAGAATAGCATTTTATTGGATTTTCCCTGATACAAGACATAATAAAATAAGAAATTCCTTCAAAGTAAATGTTTCTTTTCCTTACTGTCTTCAAGCACATCATGCAGTGGATGAGCACTTCAATTTCTTAAAGTTTTCAGGACAGATTGCACATGCTATTTTACTCATTTCTTATCAGGATTGCATCACTCACACTTTTTCAGAAAGTTTATATCTAAAAATCACCTAGATTCCTTTTTTTGTGTGTGAGCAAAAATAAATTTAAAAAATAACTGATCAGAAGGCTTTGAACAATAACCCCAAAAATATATATGACAATATAATGTGGTTAATAATGATTTGATATATAGATGAATTTAATTGGAATATATTTGTTAAGTAAACTAATAATTTTCCAAGCTATATCATTTTAGTAAGTTTTTAAAATATATTGTTTTCTTAGAGCATGCTAATATATAATATTTCCCATTAATTTGCTTTGGGTTAAGAAAGCAATTAACTAATTTTTCTTTGTTCTTGTTTTCTCTGGAATT